CTCTTGAAAATTTTCCCCGTTTCAAGAGCGGTGTGGCGAGGCCCGAAATATGCTAGAAGGTACCCTGAGTACGACCCCTCAAACCACCTAAGACGGCGGATGGATCTCTGGGATCCCTCCAGAGCGTGGCATTCCCTCCTCATAGCACATACCAAACTGCCCCTCTCCTGCGACCCCAGAGGAACCTACCGGTAACTGCTAATTCCTGTGAAACCAGGAGTCCAGAACCAATCTGTCATCAACGATGTTGGCCAGGGTGCCGTTTGGGCACCAAGTGCCTTGAAACCAATCTGATGCTTGGGAGAGCGCCGTGGGGATTTTTGGTTTTCGGTGCTGGGCGGCGCTGCCGGGAAGGGAATAGCCAGACGGAGCAGACTCGAGCTGCGGCCAAACGGCCGTGCCGAAGTGCAGTGTCTCTCTCTCTCTCTCTCTCTCTCTCTCTCTCGCATTCTCTCCCTCTCGTTCTCCGTCTCTGTGCCTGCGGTGTTGTGCCTGAAGATGTGGAGAGTTCCATTCACATTCAGCCCAAAAACGAAATAGGTGAGCTCCCACGGCGTGGCGAAGTGCACCCTTCCTCCCTCTCCCTCCGATCCGCCCTCTCTCCCTCCCTGTCTCCCTCCCGTCCTCCCTCTCTCTCTCTGTCGGGAAGGGGTGGAGGGTTCTCTTCACACTCGGCCTCAAAACCAAACAGGTGGGTTCGCCCGGCGTGCGCGAAGTGCACCCCATCTCTCACTCCCCCTCCCTCCCTTACATCCCTGCTTCCCTCCTCCATAGATCCACGTTTAGGCTGCGACTCCGTTTTTTTGTCGGGGTGCCGTGTTGCAAGTGGGATTGGATTTTGCACGGCGGGTATCGGAAGGAGTTGGCGGGGATCCTGCCGTGCATGCGGAGAGGCAGGGGGAGAAGGAACACGAAGGGGAGGTCAAGTGCCTGGTCATGCAGGGAGGAGAAGGTCTCCATCGAAATCTTGAGAGAGTGGAGTAGCAGGAGAACGACGAAGAGGGAGGGTGAGGAGGCGGGATCAGGTTGATAGTGACGAAGGGCCTCAATCACGACAGGGATAGATGGACATACCAGATCCACAGGGGTCATATCGAATATTAGAGAGAGGAGCTCGAAGAGGATCCCAACAGAGGAGAGAAAGGCATGAAGAAAGAGGGCAAAAGAGAGGCGACAGACACAGGACAGGAGAGGAGAGGATGGGGAGAAGTGGATTTTTTGTGGGGGGAGATCGGGAGGGGGGATGGAGGGCGCAAGTTGAAAGATGGAATCGGCCAGGCGGAAAGGAGGCAATGGAGAAAGAAGAAAAGGAAAAAGGCGAGCGGAATAGGGACTGTCTCTTATACACATCTAGATGTGTATAAGAGACAGGAGAGAGAGAGAGAGAGAGAGAGAGAGAGAGAGAGAGAGAGAGATGCGTGTCCGGCGCGCGTGAGAAAAAGAGAGAGAGAGAGAGAGAGAGAGAGAGAGAGAGAGAGAGAGAGAGAGAGAGAGAGAGAGAGAGGGAGAGAGAGAGGGATGGAGAGGGTAGAATAGCAAGAGAACGGGAAGAGTGAGGGAGCAGGAGACGGCGAGAGGGACAGGAGGGAGAGAGATCCCAGTGGGATAGTTATCGTCGGCCACTATCTTCTCTTCATGGCGGCACCCCCGTCATCACTCCCAAGTCCCGCGCTAGATGATTGTAAATGTCAGAAGAAGAAGAAAGAAGAAAGAAGAAGTCCCGCCCAAGATGATTCTAATTTTTAACTGTTAACAAAAAAAGAAGAAAAAAGAAGAAAAAAGAAGAAAAAAGAAGAAAAAAAAGGATGGCGATATTACAGTACTACACCCTTTGACATCTTCTTTTTCTCTATCATGTGCCGCCTTTTTTTTTCTTTTCTTGGTGTGCTGTTATGCTGTCGTCTCTTTACGTCTGGAGCTCCTCTTGTCTCTCTATTACTATCATATCTCTTTTTGTCCATTAAATTTCAATCTCCATTCTACTCGTGCGGATGATGCCAGACCCGTTGCATGTCTCCTCTTTCAAATCTCGCGCATGCGGCGTTGGTGACGTTGAGACCTAATGCTCATCTGCTCTGCGTCGAAATCAAAAGCAGAATTGATGTTGATGATCACATCTGAATGATCTTAATCAATCAGGTCACGATGTTCGTCATTTTCGAAAGCCAGTCCTGTCTGCCGATCCTTCTTCCACTCACCAAGATGGTGAATGGATTGATTACAATCAATGAATGGATTGATTAATCTCGGTTTCCTTTCAGTCGAGCCTTCTTCCACGCACCAAGATGGTGAATGGATTGAATCTCGGTTAAGACCGAGCGGTCATCGGTCATCGGTGAAAAGACGGTTGTTCAGAATATTGCTCCAGCAGTATTCTTCCTTTCTTCTTTCTCTCTGGCACTGCATGTCTCTCTCTCTCTCTCAGTGTGAAGAGAGGGAAACGGATGTTTCTTGCTCGTTTTCTCTCTTGGGAGACGGAAATCGAAGAGCCGAGGGAGATTCAGTCTCGCCAGCGGGTCATTTAACAGAGTACGGGATTACCAATGAAACCGTCAAAAAAGTACAAAACGTTCATTACCAATGAACGCTTGGCATGAAGGAAAGTGAGGTTCATTGACACAAGAAAAAAAAGTAAAGAGAGATTCAACCCCTTTCAACTCAAATACTATTAAGATTCAACCCCTCGCTTTTCTGGAAGAATAAGATTCAATCCCGGGGTGGGGGAGAGAGAGAGAGAGAGAGAGAGAGAGAGAGAGAGAGAGAGAGAGAGAGAGAGAGAGAGAGAGAGAGAGAGAGAGAGAGAGAGATTTGGGTGGAGGGTAGGAGGGAATAAGGTTTGGCACCTGCTGTAAAAACGTTCGTTGTTCTGAGTGAAAAGAGGGAATGGAAATATAAGTGGGATCTTTTTCGTTTGCGTGCAAGGTATGCGGTATCCTTTTCCTGTTTTCTGGGTCAGCGATTGGTTGCTTACTGGAGAATTACCTTATGTTTGCGCTCGCACGCGTGCGTGTGTGACACTGTGTGTGTGTGTCAGAGAGAGAGAGAGAGAGAGAGAGAGAGAGAGAGAGAGAGAGAGAGAGAGAGATCTGTAGATGGATACGTATGTAGGCGCAGAATATCTCATTGACATTTCCACGTGTGCGGGCGTAGCCGCACTGGCTTTCTTGTGGGTATTATTAAGTAATAATCTTGTGTCTCTTCCCTTTTGATCCTAGGCTGGGAGAGGGACATCTATGAAATTGGGAACCATGACTGAATGACAGGGCTGAAATGTGGATCGGAGGGCAGGAAGGTGAAGTCTTGGGCGGACGAACTCAATCTCGGATGCTGCAAGGACATAAGGTAAAAGACCTTTAGGGGTGGTTAGGAGCTTGTAAGTGTAGGTGCGGAGTAGCTACCGTCTTCACCCGAATAGAACGCCCGGTCATTATAGCTGTATTTGGCCCAACTTCCAGTCTAAATACAGCGATAATGACCGGGCGTTCTATTCGGGTGAAGACGGTAGCTACCACGGGCAGAACTGGATAAAAGAGGCCGCTGTGGAGTAGGCGAGGTTAGAAATTGCCTGAGGTTATCAGGAGCTGGTGCTGATGGAGGGAGGATGGAGACGATGCCAGCCAGGAGAGGTGGCTATGGAGTTGCTCCTAGCCATGGTGGATGCTTGCTAGCTGTGACGGAAGCTTGGTAGCTATTGTGCGACCGTCTTCCGCCGAACGCAACGCACCCTCATCTTGGTTGTACCGGACCGGAAATATAGCTTGTATACGTTCAATTTCAGGGTGCGTTATGTTCGGGGGAAGACGGTAGTCGTCTTCACACACCGACATTGCGTTCTGCCTGTGATAAACCGCGTGCAACCGACAAACACTGCTGAGAGACAGTGGATATCACTGTCTCTTCACTGTCTCTTGGTGTTAGTACGTGCGGAGAGACAGTGGATATCACTGCAGCATGGTGGGCTGGAATGCCGCAGTGCACAGCTGTCTAGGCTCTCGCTAGAGGCGCGCGCGAAGCGTCTTTATCCCATACTTAGGGCATACTCACACTAAATGGCCTCAAAATCGCAAAATGGCAAAATGAGCGGCCAGATTTGAGTCCTTGTAAAAGGAGGAGTCGATCGGGTCGCTCATATTGTGATTTTGATGGCCTACCGTCTTCACCCGAATAGAACGCCCGGTCATTATCACTGCATCTAGACTTAAAGTTCCACTAAAGACCGCTATAATGACCGGGCGTTCTATTCGGGTGAAGACGGTAGTGTGAGTATGCTCTTACTGTTGTTGTTAATTGGCAGTTGATGGCATGTGGCCTGGATGGCCACTGTAAGTGCATGATGGACCCAGGAGCGAAGGGCACTTAACTTGTTTCATTAGAGAGGTAATCAAGGGAGCATTGATGGCCACTGAGTGAAGAGGAGAGAGAGCACCGAGAGGGAGAGGAGGAGGAATGGAATCCCTTTTTCATGGAAGCCCTTTGAAGCTGTATGGAACGTTTAGCAGGCGAAGGTAGATTGGGCAGTTCATATGAAGACCTTGCCGAGTGTTAGGGGGTAAGACAATGCCGGGTGTTAAGGGGGGGGAATCCGGAATCAGTGGCCTGGGTAGATGAAAAAAACTAATTTGGTGTACTCGGTAGTGAGTTTGGGGTGTTTGAAAAAAGTGGGGGTATTACTAGAGAGAAGGCTCAAAGTTTTTCTGAACGTCTACTGTTTGTGATTCTTCATCTCAGGAGTGGATGCACAGAGGGGTCATTGCCACAACCAGCAAATTCGATTCCGCGGAACTGTAGGCTGATCGCATCTGGGTTGCCTTACCTAACCGAACCGAACTGGGGACTCATCAAGGTGAGACTGCTCTTCTCCTTGGGGAAGTCAAGAGATTGGTTGGCTGTTCGTTTTTTTTTTTTTTTTTCCCTTTTTTCTTCTGGATTCGTACTCTGGTCTGCATTTCAGCAGTTCGTGGGTGTACCCTGGTTGGTCTTTTGGGCTTGCTGAACTGAGGGGATGTTGATTTGAAAACACTGAAGGGAGGGAGGAGTGATGGAGGGCAAGGGTAGTGGAGTCGGGGAAGGGTCTTTGCTGTCTAGTGTGCGGTTTATCCCTCAAAGCAGCTTGAAAAAGAGCGCAAAGAAACGGGATGTGGAAGAGGTGGGCAAACGGGAAAAAAAATGCAAAGGGAAGCAGAAGAGGGGCCACAAGGATCGGAGGTCATCCGAGAAGCATAGGAAGGGGAGGAGGAAGTATGAGGAGAGGAGAGTGGAAAGCATGTCGTCTGAGTCTGAATCGGATAAGAGAGGTAAGCGTAGACACAGTGACAAGGGGAGAAGGGAGGACAAAGATGGCAAAAGGAGAATGAAGGGAAGGCCACAGCATTGGGGCAGCAAAGGACGAAGCTCAGTGGAAGACGAAGAGGAGGCAAGCTGCTTAGAGAGCAGCAGCCGTGGGGAGAGTACTTCTAGAACATCGTCTGAAAGGTCATCATCGTTGGAAACATCAGCATCGTCGGGAGATTCCTCCTCACCGTCATCGGCAGGCACAGACGAGAAGGGAAGGGGGCAGCGGATTCGACACTCAAAGAAACGGAAAGAAGTGGATTTGAGAAAGGCCGCTGCTGACAAAGCTCATGTGGGACAAGAGGTGTTGAGCCGTGAGTCAGTGGGGCTGGAATGGATGACAGTTCCCCTTAGAGGTCCGGTGCCCCCCCCAAAAGAGAACTCAGAGGAGGAGGAGGACAACCGGAGAGAAACAGAGGAGGAGGTGAAGATAAGTGAGAGGGAGCTTAATCCCTACCTTAGGGCAGGGGTGGTGAATCCCTTAGATGTTGACAAGGCTGGGAAAGCAGGGAGCAGCTCCACTGTGCATGGACAGCAGGGTTGTATTGGGAAAGACAGAACAGCGTTGGTGGGTGATGGAGGTCTCAGTTGGCGATTGAAAGCACTCAAGCGTGCTAAGCAGCAGGCACTCAGAGATGGACGTAGCCTTGAGGAGGTGGTTGGTGATCGCTGGGGAGATTTATCTTCCTTGGTTGAACACAATGCGTCGAGGCATGCGGCACCGGCCCTTGCTCACTTGCATGCAAAAGAGCAACGCAAACGTAGAGCACAGAGTGAGGCAGAGGGCACACATGGAGGCTGTGTGCAGCAGAATGCAATCCCAGGGGATGTCCGGGAAAGGGATAAACGGCCCCAGACGTGGAGACGAGAAGATGAGAGGACTGGCAGGGATGGCCGAAAGCACCAAAGGTTGTTGTCCGGTCATGGCCAGATGCGAGCACCTGCTGACCTCAGTGTCTCCTGGAGGAAGAAGGGGGATAACCTTTGCAGAGGTGGCAGCGGTGGGTCTTCCCAAGGTGCGAGCCAAGCAGGAAATGCGAGGCTGACAAGGGAGGCTGATGAGGCAGCACTCAGGCCTGCTCCATTGAGTGTGAGCAAGAGTCTGAAGGATGGAAGCTGTTTCGAAAGATGGGCCCTGAGTGTGAAGGAAAGGGCTGATGCAGGGGTGCTGGATAGCGGTCATGCAGTGCCTTCTGGGCGTGGCGGACTGGAGGGAGGAGGAGGAGGGGTAACAGAGGCTCAGTTTTGTGACCGAGGTAAGAAAGAAGAGGTCCATGCTGTTGAGAAGGCTGGGGGGAATGTACGGGCTGGTATGGGGTTTGAAGGGGAACATTTCTTGCGAGATCAGAAGCCAAGTAAAGAAGATGCGCCTACGATTGAGCCGCAGAGGGGAAGTGTAGAAGGGAGTGAGAGAGGATGCTGTGAGGAGAGAGGTGGTGGAGGGGCCTTGCTTGTTTCTCCGGGAGGAGCTGGAAAAGGAGTGGGTGAGAGTGGTGTTGTCGTCCAAGGGCTTACAGCGAACCAAATCTCTGCAAAGGTGATGAGACTGCGGTTGATGGGAAAGACAGAAGAGGCTGATCGGCTGCAGAAAGTGGCAGAGAGATTGTCCCACACAGAGGTGGTAGCTCTGCCAATGATCGATGCGCAAGGCCAACCAGTTCCAGGGGCTTTTGGAAATCCAGCTTTGCCGGTGCAAATGGATGACCAAGGGCACCGGCGGCCCAAGCGAACCCAAAGGTATCTGGAGCCAACTGGGAACACAGGGAAAGCACAAGGGGACGATGCGCATGACCTCAAGATGAGAGTGGGGGAGCGCGCGAGGTACTATGCGGATGACGATGACCGTGAATTGAAGTCTTTGGTTGCCAGTAGCAAGTATGGACGCGATGGTGATGATTATGATGGGAACTTTGCGGATAACGTGGTGCGTAACAAGAGATTTAAGGCAATTCGAGTGGATGATGAATATGACTACGACGAGGGTTTGGAAATGTATGAAGATCGTGCGAAGAAAGCGTCGAGTGACAAACGTCTGCAGAAAGACAGAGAGAGGCAGATCGGAGATTTCCGACGGCTGCAAACGCAACAAGAACGATGCGCATTCTGCTTTGAGAATCCCAGAAGGCCTTCGCATCTCATGATCTCTATCGCAACCCGAGCCTACATGATGCTACCGGACAGGGCCCCATTGGTGGAGGGTCATTGTCTGATTGTAACCATGGAGCACCAAGGTTCAATGCGGAATGTGGACGACGACGTGTGGGAAGAGGTGCGAAACTTCAAGAAATGCCTGGTGCGAATGCACGCAAAAGAGGAGAGGGAGGTGCTTTTTATGGAGACTGTCCTAGGTCTCTCGAAACAGAAACGCCATTGCTATGTGGAATGCATTCCGGTCCCTGTGGACACAGCGAGGCAAGCGCCGCTCTACTTTAAGAAGGCGATCGACGAGTGTGAGTCGGAGTGGAGCCGGCATGATGCCAAGAAGCTTATTGACACTAGAATTAAGGGGTTAAGGCCAAGCATACCGAAGAATTTCCCCTACTTCCACATCGAGTTCGGGTTGCAGGGTGGTTACTGCCACGTCATAGATGACGAGAGTTCCTTTAAAAGCCATTTTGGGCGCGATGTGTTGATTGGAATGTTGGATCTGCCTCCTGAAGACATGCACAGACGCCCTGCCCATGAGCACGTTGAAAGGCAGAAACGGGCAGTCAGGGACTTTGTACGGCAGTGGGAACCGTACGATTGGACCAAGATGCTTGATTGATTAAAGACCCGAACTGAGCATGGAAGAAAGGGATATAGGTTGATTGGTTCTTGGAAACATGTGTGTGATATGCTGGAAAGCAGCCGCTGGGATTATGCTCTGAGATTGATTGCTGTGGGTTCACTCATCAGCGCACGGATATGCTACCTAGAGATGATTAGAACATGAGAGCAACAGAAGCAGGGCACCAAGGTAATTTGCATGGCATTGGGACCCAGTGGATCGGGAGAAGATGCTTGATGAGGAGGCAGAGCAATGGGAGAGAGAACTGGCTCCCCGGAGTTAGGATCGATGCTGCTCTGCTCTGCGGGGTCAAGTCGGTGAGATGGTATCAGCTCGGGCTGGGATCTGGGGTTTGGCAAAGTTTTCTCTCACAGTCCACCGACCTTCGTTGCCGGCAATGAAGTGCGCCGCCCCTTGGATTTCTCCTCTCTTGAAATTCCCATACTCCAGTATTTAGCTCCTCATATTAGGGTCAGAACTGCGTGGGCGACCCTTTTCTGGGGCTGGGCTCCATCTGACTATCTGAGGGTCAGCAGCTGTGAAGCAGCGAAGCTTTATTGTCAATCTGGATGACCAGATCACCCTCCACTCTTATGTTCCTCTTGCCTTCTGTCTGGAAAAAAAAGTGAGGTGCTTCTGTTTTGTCTAATCGTGGTGAATAATGGGCTTGCCGGCGTGCCATCCTACTGTGGCAGGTGTTTCTGGTCTCCAGTCTCTGCATGCATCGCATATGAGCGGAGCCATTTTTCATGACTGCCCAATCCGTGGAATGCGTGCTGAATACTTCCCGAGCACACTTGAAGGTACAAGCAGAAGCCAGCATTTGGTGAACGCAGCATGCACCGGGTGTACTCAGCATGGCGCGGTCTCAGCAATGCCTCCGCAGCTTCATCCAAACGGCTGCTGGCTTCAGGAGGTGGGCCGACGGGCCTGCGTCTATGGCGAAGAAGCCTGTCATCCTCCTCAGTTGCTCAGTGTGCGGCATTAGCTGACCAGGGCACAGGTTTCGGACCCCCTCCAGTACAGTCACCTCGGAGAGTCGTGGTCACGGGTCTTGGCCTGGTAACGCCATTAGGCGTGGGAGTGGAGCACACGTGGCAGCGACTCGTTGCCGGGGAAAGTGGAATCCGAGGGGTCACAGTGGATGATCTAGGACTTGATGCGTTTGACGAGAAAACTGTTTCTGAGGCTTGGAGACAGCTGGGCTCTAGAGTTGCGGCCTTTGTTCCAATGGGATCCGGCCCTGGCCAATTCGACATTAACACAACTGTAGCTCCTGAGGACAAGGGTCGCATTGCCCCTTTTGTGGCGTTTGCGCTATCCGCGACAACAGAGGCGCTTGGAGATGCAGGGTGGGCCCCTTCCTCCGACCGCGAACGGCAACGGACTGGGGTTGCAATTGGGGGTGGGATAGGGTGCATGATGGACGTTGTCGAGTTTTCAAGGCTGGCCGCGGATCGTAAGCTCCGTCGCCTTAGTCCTTTCTTCATTCCTCGGGTGCTTATCAACATGGCAGCTGGCTATGTCGGCCTCAAACACGGGCTCTGGGGCCCGAACCACGCAGCGACTACGGCGTGTGCAAGTGGCGCTCACTCCATTGGTGATGCAGCTAGACTCATCCGGCATTGGGACGCGGATGTGATGGTTGCTGGCGGGGCGGAGTCTTGCATTGATGTCATGTCACTCGCAGGTTTCCACCGATTGAAGGCTTTGTCGTGCAAGTACAACGAACAACCGGCCAAAGCATCTCGACCGTTTGACCAAGGTCGTGACGGGTTTGTGATAGGAGAGGGAGCAGGCATCGTTGTGCTCGAGGAGTACGAGCATGCGCAGAAGAGGGGGGCGAAGATGTATGCCGAAATTCGGGGCTGTGGCATGTCTGGTGATGGCTATCATATGACACTACCACCGCCGGATGGCCGGGGCGCTCTCCTGGCCATGCAGCGAGCTCTGGAGATCGCAGGTCTCCAACCCACCGACGTGGACTACATCAATGCTCATGCGACATCAACTCCGCAAGGGGATGCGATAGAAGCCAGGGCCATACAGACACTCTTTGGAAGCCATGCCCACTCCGGCAGTCTGGCCTTGTCGTCCACAAAGGGTTCTACAGGTCACCTCATGGGAGCGGCTGGGGCGGTGGAGGCCATCTTCACCATTCTTGCTATACATAAGGGAGTCATTCCTCAGACCCTGAACCTTGACGACGCCGACCCCGTATTTCAGGGAGGCTACAAGCCAGAGGCAACTCCAAGGGAGATGCAAGTGACTGCGGCACTGTCAAATTCTTTTGGTTTCGGTGGAACCAATTCATGTCTTGCATTCACACGCCCGCCACTTCTGTGATCACCACTGCCGCTGCTCGTCAGGTAGCTGGCTGACGTGGAGGAACTGGCAAGGCAGAGGGAGGGGCTGAATAAAGTCCTACTACTGGGAGTCCTACTGAACAGTTTTGTGTTGTCAACTCAATTTTTTTGGGGTGCATGAATATGGTTTTGAAGCTGCTGCTGAATGAGGCCACCTTAGCTGTTGTTTTGCTCTTATGCATTGGGCGTTTGATCGAAGGAGCTGCTGTTGCGTTTGGTGGTCTCCATGATTGATATGCAGAGCGCTTTTCCGACGAGCGACGATATCCTGACCTGACACATCAAGGGTTGGATATCGTTAATCTGGCCCTCGACGCGACCGTATTTTTTGTGCCTGTTTCGACGTTACTGCCATTCATCCTCGACATCGGATATCATGATGGTAGCTGTGCCACGTCGAGGGTCAGATATAGTTCCTCTGCTCGGCTTTGTGATGATATCGAGGGTGTGTGCCGGGAATCCTATCGATTGTTTCACTATCGAGGGTGAAAGCAGGAGCCTGTACCATCATGTGTTGAGAATTCGAAACCCTGTTGTAATCAGGGGTATTTGCTAATAACTTGAGAGCACCATTTTGGACACCTGATAATGCTGTCTGTCCTGGCACAGGGACAGAGCGAGGGGTGCGGTGGGTCCTACTCCATTCAGATTTGGGATGGGATTTGTCGCACATGCAAATGTGTACTGGGAATCATATAGGGCCTCGCCACATTACTCTCGAAATGTGAAAATGACAAAAATGTGGCGGGTGCATCTGGCCATGTTCTAGCGGGAAGTTCATTTCATTTTGCACATTTTGAGAGTGCTGTGGCAGTGCATATATAGAGTGGTTCACAGCACTGGTGAAGCAACCGGCTGTACATGTTATATTGACATTGTGAGAAAATCTTGATGAATTCATTTTTTGTTGTTAACAGGACAGAAAAAGGCATATGTGGAGCTTAGCGAGGGGTTCCAGGCTGCGGCTGCTGTGGCGGCTGCTGCTGAGTGTATCGCCCCGACCTCGGCAGCCACTCTGCTGTGCTCTCTTACGTAAATCTGCTCCACTGTCTACCTGCTGCAGCATCTCTCTTCTGGGGGACACATTCGACACGGTGTTTGATTTGATGCATGCGGTCCAGAAGACAGATGATTGCGATGATGCTATACTCGTACTAATCGTTCTGCTTGACATCAACTGTAAATACTCAGTGGTGATTGGTACCGTAGGAAAGAATGCGAATTGGCTCTGTTTTCTGTCCGTGCTGTTTTTCACGTGCGGTCCCTGAAGATCCTACGCAGACATACGTTGGTTCCCTGCGGATTATCCGTTGCAATATTTATTGAATTCAATCAGTGCATCGATTGGGATGCGTTTGAGGAGAGAGTAAGCTATTCCCCTGTCACGAAAGGAAAACTGGGTGTGGGAAGTGAAATGGAAAGGTCACAGGTCAGGTACCATACCATACCTGTATTCGAATTTGGGTCTGTATGCCAGCAATTCATGGGTGTACCAACTGGGCTAGTAGGCCATGTCATACCGTATCTTTTTTTTGGGTGGGAAAAAGAGATCTGCGCATGACGTACATTTAAATTTCAGGAGAAGATCACACAGAGAAGTTGTCTGTGGCATGGTTGCGGCAATGCTGAGTGGATCGCTTACTGGTGGATCCACTACCGTGGGTTGTGTGGGTGATGAAGAGGCAGGGAGAACTCTCACATACACTAAAAGAAGTAAAAGAAGTTGGCCTAGGCTGCCAGACTGGCCCGGGGTCACTTGCCCGGCCGGGCCAAAACAATAAAAAATTATAAAAATTATAAACATTGTTTTTAAATTTAAATTTTAATTTTAAATTTGGTGAAGAATTTCGATGTGACCCTGCGGCAAAAGTTGTTCAGCTTATTTTTCTGCATAACATAGTTTTTTTTTTTTTGGATTTTTTGGATTCTTTTTTTTTTTTTTTTTTTTTTTTTGCTGGGACCTTCCTTGGTCCTTGCACGGGCTGGCTACCTGGGACCCGGGCGGCCCGGCTGGTAGCCGAGAAGTTGGCTATTTTTTTTCTAGGAGACGAACAAGACCTTAGAAAACATACTAGGAGATGAATAAGACCTTAGAAAACATACTTCGAAAGTATGTTGAGTCTCTAAAGATTGATTATGTGACCTTCTTACTCGTGTAGACATAGACAAGGGGCTTACATTGAAGCACATGCTATAGGGTACTCGTCACGCCCTCTCACAGCAAAGTTTGATCACATCGTGCCCTTCCGTGAAGGAGCTTACAAACACATGTTGGCAGGCGCTTCATAGAGTTTGGGACAGTTGCCGCAAATGTAAAAACTCGCAAGGGTGCTTACGGAGACGGGCATCGTCATATCGGATGTTTCATGGCTGGGGGTATTCTTTTCCTCTCGACCAGGTCATCTGAGTTAGAGGATCTTCTGAAATGATTGTATCTCATTGCATCTGTCCACATCGAATCCTTGAGCATCTGCAGACGTGTATCTGCGAGGTATGGTTATCATGCTGACTGCCTGAAGGAGTACGATGAGTCTCCTTCGATGCGCAAGTGAAATCTGATGCGACGACCTCCTCCTATTGAGCTATCTGATCGCCCACTTAAGTTTGAGGTAGAATGCGCTTTTTGTCATTATACCCATGAGACTAGTCCTGACACTCCACAATCATGCGAGTACTTGTTGGAGTGGAATGTCTACGACAACTGTGAATGCTCATGCAAGCCATTGGATCATTTAAACCACCAGTACTTCCGAATTTCGCGGCCCTCTACGCGCTGCGATGCGCTGGGCCGAACGGGCCCGGCGGCTCGGGTCCAAATTCATTCAAGTGGAAACACTGTGGCTCTACTGTTCGCGGCGGTGGTTTAAACAACAACTTTGGTAGTCGTCAGTGCCAATAACTGCATGCAGTGCTGCCGCGAGAGCAGGACCACTCGAGCACGTGATGGAAATCGTGAGCAGTGGTACCGCGAGAGCGGGACCACTCGAGCACGTGATGGAAATTGTGAGCAGTGGTACTGCGAGAGTGGGACCACTCCAGCACATGATGGAAATCGTGAGCAGTGGTACCGCGAGAGCGGGACCACTCGAGCACGTGATGGAAATTGTGAGCAGTGGTACTGCGAGAGCGGGACCGCTCTAGCACGTGATGGAAATCGTGAGCAAGGTGGGATGGACATCACATAAGACGCCACAAACAGCACTCTGGAAAAGACACAAAACAACAGCAAGCCATAAATGAATTCATGAAAATGACAGGGTACAATAAAAAATTAGAGGGCACGCTTAGTGCCAACCAACTGATATAGTTGGCTTGCTCCCCCAGTCGGTCAGTAGTAGTAGGGTCTTTGGCCATCATGGGTGTGTGTGGGGGTGGTGCGGGGGAGGGGGGGGTGTTGCAAAGTGCTGGCCATAGACCCTGCTGTTACTCGATGATGGCAGGGGAAGAAGATGGGAGGCGCAGCTACTGGCAGAATGTTTTTGTCTTTGCGTTAGCTGGCCTCACCCATCGGCGGCCCCACCATACTCCCTGACTACCGCCGATGAGGGCATGGAGCCAATATGCATCCCCTTGGTTGTGAGAGACAGTAATCTTGCAGGGGTCAGTAGTGGTAGGTAGGTAGTGAGAGGTGAAATTGAAAGAAGAATCGAGGTTAGCTTTATTAAAAAGAAATTAGAGCTATAGTTAGTTCTCTAACAGGTAGGCTGGTGAGGCCTCACCTGGGACCGGTTGCCTGTGGATATTCAAGACTGTCGCCCTTTTTCTTTCAAAAAAGTTAAACCCTCGGATGGAAAGGATCGACCCAGCGACCACCACCACCTTCTCGGTCCGCTCGTCCGTGTCTTCAGCACCTCCACCGGACACATGGCCGCAGGGTATTCCACCCCCCCCACCCACCCTTACCACCTTTCCTACCACTCCTTAGCCAATTATCCCCACCCGCTCGATTCCCATCCCCAGCGGCCTAAACCCTAAACCTGCAACTGCAAACAGGAGAAGGCTCGCAAGCTACTACAGTTAAGAGAGGAAATGCCTTACAGCACAAGGAACGAAAGGTACAGGGCTTCAACCAGAGCATGTGGACACAGAAGGGAAGGACCTGACAGTGTGGCTGCCAGGACTTGACGGAAGCAAGATACAGGAGACACAGTAGACAATGGTCACCACAGAGCTGAGACCCGTGTGACGTCAACGAAGACTGACCACTGTGACTAATCCCCTCATGAAAAGGGGGCTGAGTGTGGAGACACGGACAGCCGCTCATATGCTGAGTGCCTTGTCCTTAGAGCGCAAAATCTGCAGCGCCTAAGGAAGCAAAGTTAAGTAGGATACAGGAGACAAAAGAGACAAAGCCACCCCAGGGCCTAGTAAACTGAGGTGAGGGAAACAAGGACTGGCCAGCAAAACTAATCCTCAGGAACAGGGGCCTACCGTCTTCACCCGAATAGAAAGCCCGGTAATTATCGCCGTCTCTAGGCCGAAAGTTGTTCCAAATACCGCTATAATGACCGGGCTTTCTATTCGGGTGAAGACGGTGCTGTTGGGAGCACTGTGGCAGTCGTTCAAATGCGGTGCTTTGGAGAGAGAACCACGCAGAGGAGGTGGAAAGATTACCATCCTGTTAGCCCCCTGAGGAGGGGGAACAGGGGACGGTGAAATTGGTGGAAAGGCAGGCAATAGACAGTAATTTTAGGTCATCCAAAAAGGACCAGAGACACGGGGCCCAGTCCCAAGTAGCAACGAGTACATTGAAACGATGGGACGCTGGACCCAGTTTCCAGCAGGTGCGGCTCCCCCCCAATAGATCGGAGCCTTCACGTTGGCACCTCACTTCTGGGGGATGCTCATATCACCTCTGGAAATGGGGATCCAGACAGAAGTTCCTCGTCAAAAAAAAAAAAAAAGGATGGAAAGGATTGACAATTTGACACCCATAAGGTCATCCTTTCACCCTCAAACGTACCATGGAAAAAAGGAAGGAAAAAACAAAACAAAACAAAAAAGGCAAATGGTATGTGTCAGAGTTTTGGTTTGATCTTGAATTATCCAGGGTCGGTCGCCTGTGGATACATCTTAAGCTGCCAGTACACAGCCCCAGCCTTGTCGAAAAAAATGTTTGTCGCCTACTCCAGAAAATTTGTGGCTCGGGCCTACAAGACAACATTTGCTGGCGGCCCCAGCCAAAAAAAAAAAAAAAAAGCACCGCTGGCGGCTCCGAAAAGCACGACGCGCAGTGCAGAGCCCCCAGGCCCGGGTGTACTGTCGGTTTAAGACTGTTGCCCTTTACAACAAAACAACAACAACAACAATAGTTATGGTTTGTGGACGCCCACAACGGATGATGACTCTCCAAATACATATGGCTTCATCACAGTGTTTCTCATAGAGGGTGGTGATGTGTTCTCCTCAACGAAGCCTAGTGAGAGAGAAAGGAAGGGAAAGGGGCGGTATCGCAAAATCTGGTAAGAAGTGCAGGACACGCATTGTAAATGACATTGGAGGCCGTGATGGAGATGGTTAGCAAGGTGGGATGGACATCATACGGCTTGCCATATACAGCACTCTGACAGGAAGAGGGAGATACAACAGCACCTCGTGTTTTTTTTTTTTTTTATTATTATTTTTTTATCTATATGTTTTTGAGATACAGCAGCACCTCAATTCATGAGTAAATGAATGATGGCAAGTACAAGAATATAAGCGAGGGCTAGACCCTAGCAGGCAGGCAGAGCCTGCATCCCGGTACTGTGTAGTAGGGCCAAGCTGCACGCCTGGTTACGCGGGCCTGTACTACCAGCACTCCGAGAACTGGCAGGGCCTGAGCAGTATCGTTATAGACATTGTAAAAGAAGTAGAGGGGGCTAGCCACATGGCCGAGTGCCGAAGGTGAAAAACAACAACAACAACAACAACAACAACAACTAGAGGGCTAAAATAGGACTTGGGGAGTTACTATACCTTTTTCGGCCCTTTGGCTAAAAATAGATCAAGTGTAGTATCTGTTCTGATCAGTTTAACATCTGATCTGTGGTCCATTGGGGTAAAAAAAAAAGGGAGGAGGAAAAAAAAAAGAGCGGTAGAAAAAGGGAGGAAGGAAAGGTTAAAAAAAATATATAAACAGTTTGTCACAGCCCCTCGTTTGTTGTCCTCTTCTCTCTCTCTGCCTACGGTTTACCGGGCAGTTCTGTTTGTGACGATATATGAAAAATGGGGGTTACTATCTTTTCCTAGGATACATATGACTGGACCAAGATAGAGTCATCTTTCCCACTGAGACATCCATTTGAATTTCCAGACCCTTTCCCACCCCACAGCCTCTCCCTGGTAGACACACAATGGTACTCCTTGTAGCTCCTCGGGGCGGGTATCATTGCTGCGATAGCTTCTCCTACTCTTGTTTTTCATCTGTTGCATCTGCACTCGCCCCTGATGCCCCTTAGGGTGAAGGAGAGCCTGTTTCCGATGCCGAAGCCGGGTAATGGCCGCACTGTTTTTTTTTTTTTTTTTTTTTTTTTGTAGCAAACAGTTGCCGACAATAGCCCTCGCGTAAGCCCTCTATCCCGGCGGTGGTAAGAGAACAGTTCAACAGTCAGAATTGAGGGCTTATCTGTGAGGCAGCTCCATCTATTGGTGGGGAGCGACACCTGCTGGCGCTGTGGCCATTTTTGTCTCAGCCCGGGGCTCCGTTGTCCCATGGAGCTGCTAGTATCACCCATCCATTCTTGGAGTGCC